TCTCCTTCATTTTTATGAAATCAGAGTAGTGGATTTTTAGATATTTTAAATTTATTTCTAGTTTCAGGACCGGGTTTCCTTGATCAAACCAGGGGGCCCAAGCTAAGAAAGGTATTATATTTTCTGTCAAAATAACTTAAATAGAAAAGAAAAGTGGAAAGTGGGGGGAGTAAGAGAGGAAAAAAGAAAGGATGCAAGGAAAATAGGAAAAAAGGTAGGAAGGAAGGAAAAAAGAAATCTTTTTGGCCATTCAGCAACCCATATTCTGGTAATGTCACCAAGAAAATTCCTGCGCCTTTAGCAGTTAGGAACTTGTACACTCTTCAAATTACTTTAGACAACTTAGAGCAGTGCAACATATTAACATTTTTTGGTCATTAAGAAACTGATATCCCATCACATCCTAGTCCAGATGAAGATGGTCTGGACCGTTCCATTTATGACATGAGGAAATGCTTTCATGGGAGCCATCCGTGAATGATTTATAAATCATTCTGCAAGAGTTAACTAGGCCTTTCTGGGGGGGATTTGATGTTGTCAAGAATTCTATAATACACAGGCTTCCTATGGGTTCTGGCTTCAGATTTCCTTTGCTTAGAATTGAAATCATCATTTTCCTTCAACATATTATATTCCTTGAAATGCCAGAGACCCTCAAAGGCTACTGTTGAGTTCTTTTTCCAGTTAACCTGTTTTAAATTTTTAAATATTTTGTCTTCACTCTTAGGAAAAAAAAGATTAGTAAACAAAACTCAATGAAGACATCATTATGCTTTTCAAAAGGATAATTAAATGTTATAATTTTTTAAAAATTATATATTTATTTATTTATTTATTTATTTTAGAGACAGAGAAAGAGAGAGAGTGTGTGTGGGAGGGGCAGAGGGAGAATCTCAAGCAGACTCCCTGCTGAGCATGGAGACTGACATAGCTTTTGAGCCAACAGACCCTGAGATCATGACCTGAGCCGAAATCAAGAGTCAGACACTTAACCAACTGAGCCACCCAGGCACCCCTAAATTTTATAATTTGTAAAGCAATAGAAGATAAAGGGACAGGGAGTTTATTTTAGCAAGAGACAAAGGGACAGGGAGTTCATTTTAACAAGAGTCAAATAATAAACATCAAAATAAAAATTGATGATATTTAAAGGATAAATATCTTTATCATATCAATACATAAAAACTGTTATGATAAACACTAAGATTCCAAAGGAAAAAAAATAAGCAAATGTAAATCCATACCAAAAGACAATCCTTCCAAAAAGGATATACAAATGGAAAATAGCTAATGAACATATGAAAAGTCCAACTCTGTCAAGATAAGAAATGCAATTCAAAACAAAAATGACATTTTCTTCTCCTATCTCACAAAGGTCAGGAAGAGTGCAGTAAAATAAACTCTGCTGTACATTTCTGGAAGGATAATTCAGTAAAATAATGTTGGATAGGTAATTCCCAATTATATACTAAAAACCTTAAAATTGTTCATATTATTTCATTATACTGAGATATTTCTTCTAAGGGATGAAATCACAAATAAAGATGAGAGTATTTTTATGAAGATGATTATATGGAATTATTTATCATAAAAACAAGGAAATCACTAATATATAATATATAACAACCCATAATATATGTTATGTATTATTATATAGTATGATAAATAACAAGAGTGTAAAAGGTTAAATGAATATCTATCTGAATTTAAAATTGTTTGATATAATGTTAAAAGAGATGAAGACCTATTTGAAATGTAGAAGAATCTGACATGTTTCTTTTTTTTTTTAAGATTTTATATTTATTTGACAGAAAAAGACATAGTGAGAGAGGGAATACAAGCAGGGGGAGTGGCAGAGGGAGAAGCAGGCTTCCCACTGAGCAGGGAGCCAGATGTAAGGCTCGATCCCAGGACCCAAGCCAGAGGCAGATGCTTAATGACTGAGCCACCCAGGTGCCACAGAATCTGGCATGTTTCAGTTGCACATATGTGAAGGAAATATGCAGAAATATTAATAATAACTTTCAGTTTGAAATTATGAGTGTATTTCTATTTTTAAACTGAATTTTTTATAATGCAAAAATATAAAACAGCAATAAGAAATAATAAAGGCCTATACATTTAGGGGAGAGAAAAATAAATTTCACTGTTCATATCTGAATCTCCAGGACACAGAGAGCCTTTGGAAATTAGCTAAGTGCAACAATACATTATCTTTAATTACAGCTTGCCCCAGTTATGCATTTTTCTGCTAAACACAGATTCTTCAATGATCACAATTTCTGTCATCTGTAATTTCATTCAGATTTCTTTTAACTTTCTTTAATTCCTTTGGTCATCTTTAGGCAAATTAAAAATATTAACTCCATTTTTATGTCAAATTCTCTACTTTCTGAATCAATGTTTGACTTTTAACATAGCATAACAGACATTAGATTCCATTAATTTGATTATTCAGAAGTTTGTTATACAGAAAATATACAGAAATAAATAGCTAGACCGGAAATCAGTACCAAAACTGAAATGATACTATAATATAAACCTAAAACACAGCATTAGTTTTACAAAAAGGTAACAGGTGGAGGCCAGAAGGGCTATGAGGAGACTCTCAGTGAAGACAGGAAGGACAGTAAGGAAGTGATTTTTGAGGACTGGGGAAAAAAGGATTTATAGTAAATTACTATCAGAACAATGAGCTTGACCGTTGGCTGCGATACTAGGAAGAGAGAAAACATACCTATCAACTTGTGGATCTGGCTAAGTGGATTTCCAAGCAAACAGCTGACTGTGTTATTTGCCACCTTTTAGCCACACATAGTATGACAATTATAAGAGAGGAATGAGCAAAAGAGAGACCAATTCAGTTTCTAAGCAAAATTTAGAGAATTTATTTCCAGCTCAGGACTTTCAGAGTTGGAAAATAAAGGTTTCACATTTACAGAATCTCCAACTGGCAAGAGGTTTTTCAAGTAAGACACTCTCAAGGAAAAGATCAAATTCAGAATGCTGTTTGCAAGTTAAGATCAAAGCAAAGATGTTGCTCTAAGACCCATTGTTAAGACCTCAGAAAGATTTCAGAGACACTCTCAGCTATATAAAATATCTAACAATCTTAAAGCTGTCGCTTGGCATCTTAATTCTCATCTCATGTTAGAGTGAACAGCCTTTCTTCAGAAGATTTGTGGGTATGTATTTTATCTAAAGGGATGGGATTATAATTTGATACATAGAAATTCTACAAAATTGTTTAAAGAGTTGTAGCAGCCTGGAATAAAAGGGAAAAAAATCGTTCAATCACTGACTTAGAACACCTTGCTCTATTTTAAATGGCTTGCCATTCTATCACTAGTCTATACAATTTAATATCATTTCAAATTCAAAATGAGAAAAATATTATAGCTAACTTTTATTGACACTTTTTAAATACCAAGCATTGTGCTAAGGACATTTTACAGGATATTCCATTTATTCCTCCCAACAAAACTCTGAGTTTTTAAACTGTTCGAACATTTTGATCCACATCTAGATTTTTATTCCAAGATCTTTATCAGAAACAGAGATGACATATTTATAAGTTTATACTTAGAGCAACATTATTTATACACAAAAAATCACAGAGGACCCTCAAAGTCTAATGAGAGAGAACAGTTAAATTAAGAATCTTTCATATAATGACTTATAACTAATTAATTGAAGCTTATGGGATAATATAATTATTCTCTTATTTTTAAAGTAGGAAAACCAAAAATTGGTGAGGTCATGCTTGTTTAAAAATTTTTTTTAAAATGGCAGATCCAAGATTTCAGTCTTGATATTATGACTTTGGAAGACCCACTCCCAATCACTGTACTATTTTCCCTATATTGGATCATATTACAATTTATATAAGAAAGTGAATGGTCCTATCATATCTTGTATATTGAAAAACTTCACCCTGCAACAAAACACATCGTACTTTTTACGTGATTTACATGGCTATATACCCTTAGAGAGGACATGGACTCATTTCTGGGCATGCACCCAGAGAAGAAAGCTATGGGTTTCTCACTCATCCTTAGACAGACAGTGGATCCCTTGGTCCAGCTGTCACAACATTGTCTGTTTCAGTCCCAGGGAGCTTTATCTAGGTTCCAGATGACTGGGACAGCAGGTCAGAAGAGGGCATCTTTTATGTGAAGGAGGCCTTTGTGAAACCTGAGAAGGCTTGCTGGTTTGTGTTGAATAAGGCAGAGTTTTAGCTGCACTAGCTTATATATATATATTCCTTTACCATAAAATTGCTTTATAATTTTAAATAAATGCTTATAGGCTTTTCCTTTGTCAAAAATAGAAGAGAAAAAATGATGAAACTAAAAAAAATCTACATTAATGAAGAGCTATAGCTGAGATCGGAGGCACATACAAAAGTAAAAAATTCTAAGTTATGGTTCCCATAGCAACTGCAACACAGTTGGATTTCACTTTTATGTTAAGTAAGTTTAACTTGAGTGGAGATGCAAAATACTTCCTCTGAAGCAAAAAGAGAAATATGGAAAATATACAGACTACAGTCTAGATTCTTCCAGCTTTCAAAAGTATCAAATATTAACCCCAATATCTGTAAATATTTTGACATCAGAGCTACATACTCATTTGTATTGATTTTAAACTATATTTATTCAATTTATAAAATATGATTATTTAAAATGGGGAAGATTCCCATCAAAATCTGTTAAATCAAAGGACACAATCTTATAGTTTGGAAATATAGGGGCATAGTTCTGTTTTTAATTAAAAGAAATAGTTACTGGAAGTGCAGTTTATGAAAATATAATCTGATTATGTTCACCGTCAAGTGTTTTAAACTTGACATTTTCAGTTACTGTAAATGTAATCTGAAACTAGGAAAACAACCTAATAGTACTTTAAGGAGAGGATATACATATAAATTTTCAAGACATTTGTAGTTTGCATCATTACTCCAATTTTTCCTTTTTTAAAGAAGCAGGAAAGGTACTTACTCCTGTTATGTAACGAGGTCTATATTGAATAGTTCCAAATAAACCAAGAATGACGATAATAATATGTACAAAATTTGCCAGGATAGGTGCCCACTGATATCCAAGGAAGTCAAATATTTGCCTCTCCAGCACACAAACCTAGAATAGCAAAACAGGATACATAAACATAAGCACAGTGGTGAGAGAGAGAGAGAGAGAAAGGATCATATTGCATTCTAATTAGCAATTATAATTGTGTTACTCTATCTGGCATTTGTCTTTAACAGTGAGACTGACATTTTCAGGTATATTTCAAAGAAACACTATGGAAGTTGTAGATTCACAGATAGCTACAATCCCTTTAACGATGATTTTGTGGAGGTATCAAGCCATATTCACAGGATATCATCTACGCAGTTGAAGGATAAATTATATCGTCATATGCACTAACTCTTGGATTCATCAACCAGCAAGTTTGCAAAGTCCACACAAAGAGTTTACTGTTAGGATCTGCCCAAATGTCATTATACAGGTTGAGAATAAAACAAAGGGGATTGACGTAGAGGAAAAATAACTCATCACCAAGTCAACTGACCTGAATTCTGGACTTAGATCTGACTCCAAACAGCTGTAGTCCCCTAGCTAAGTCTAGCTCTTGTCTGGGATTCTGATGCCTCACTTGTAAAATGCGTGATTTTGACTATTGTTTAGGGTTCTACTACCCCAAATTGACCTGGATTATAAATTAAACATGACTTTCTTTTTTTTCTGTCATACCCAGTTACCCATATAACTGGCAAAAGGGTGAAAAAAGTACATTAAAATAATGGGGAACAAATATAAAAATAAAGCATCACTGTTATAAAAGCAAGGAACTTAGGTCATTTCAAATTATCTTACATTAATCTTGTGCTTACAACTTTACAGTTAACACACAGGTACAAATCTAAGGAGTAAGAGAAGAAAAAAAAACCAGCCAGCCAGCCAGCCAACCAACCAACCAGACAAAAGCTGCCAAAGTCAAGAAGTGCCATTTGATATTGAGAAGGAAAACCTCGATAGCTATCAAATCTCTCATCAGATCTAACAAAGCAAAAGAGGAATGGTGAGTTAAACTCAGCTTCGTCCTTCGTGTCTTCCCTCAGGTGGAATGATAATCAATTGTTTGGAGTAAAACATTATGAAAGGACCTGATGATCTTCCACACAGAGAGTCAACAATTTTTTTTTTCAAGCCAAGCTTTGAAGGAAAGGATTTAAAAAACCCTCAGTTACTAACATCACTGTGCTTTAATGATATTCCTTGTCAGGATACTAACTCTCAAATTAGTGTGCTTTTAAATTAAATACCTGTAGCTCACTTTGAAGATTCCTTGAATGATCATTATTCCCACTGCATTTCTTTAGCTGCACAGTGTACATTTCCACCAGGCATTGAAAAAGAAAATAAATTCATGACAACTGTTTGCATAACACTTCTGTTTCCTAAGGCATGCTGGGTACCATATAAGGGCTGTAATGGTAATCCAGCCTTGTCAAATCTTCATTTTCACTTAGTCTTGGCGGTGATTAAAAAAGAGAGAATGTAGTCTGTTCTACCTTGCATATTCTAAATTCACAATACCCACTGGAGTTGCAAAAGTGGAATGTAAATAACATTGCCTATGACTCCAGATTCATAAACCTTGAACTGCCTTCTGATGAAACATTCCTTCAATGCTATCATGCAGTCAACACTGCACATAAAGGAGAACCATTTGTGGTGTTAGGAAGTATTATGTATGCCTTGTTTTTGAATCCATTAATGGTACAAAAAAATAAGTGGTTGTTCTCAGAGTCCCATTGCTAATCATCTGTATGAAAGCTCACTCCAACATAGAACTCTCCATCTTGATCCTATGAATAAACAGTAAGTAGGAATGTAAATAGCAGCAAGAGGAATCTAAACTCTATAAATTTTGAGCGTCATAACTGTGGGGACCCAGCAGGGAAAAAGTATAGAGGATGAAATGCATTAGTCAAACAGTGGGAAATCTCTCAATAAATGCACCAATTATGGAAGAAAATAGCAGCACCATCGTTAATTACAAAAAATACATAGATGATAATATACTTGCAAAGCCTGCATGGCTAAATGAAGTTACATCAACATGTATTAGTCTTTTTTTTTTTAATGACAGAATTAATACTTTCATCAAACATTACTTACAAGGTTATGTAGACTGAATGAGTTAATGTGCAATTCTTCACATAATATTTCTGCTTTTACCTTTGATTGGCCCTATTAGCCATCATAAGTAGCTTTATCACAGGTTCTGTAATTTAGAGCTGGGGCTGGAGAAGGGAAGATTTTCTGAAAAATTCAGAGAGTGTAACAGGAATGACAATATATGGAAGTAGTTGCAGTCTTTTCTATGAACTCCTTTCCAACTGAAAGATATTAACTATGGAATTACTGAAAGGGTGATGGGCATGGAGGCAGGAGAACAAATATTAGTTAAAACACTCAGCATCTGATGGGCATTCTGGTTATTCCCAGTCATGTATTACCTCATTGATTCTGCACAAACCCCAGAGAGGTCAATATTGTCTTATTTTTCAGATTAAGAAATCTAACATAGAGTGTGGCTAAGCAATTCTCTGGATGTCTTAGAAGTGATAAATGCTAAACAAACAAACAAAAACAAAACCCCAAAACACGGGGCTCTGTGCACGGTCCCTTAACTGTGTCCCTATGTTGCAAACTTGTCCAAAACCAAAGTCCAAACCAAACCCAGTCCAGAACCAAAAAGCTTTTGCAGTTTATGCTATAGGCCTATGCTGCGTACAGGGTACATGCTATGTTTTTACTTATTATTTACTGTGAAATAACGTAAAGAATTTCTTTGATCATACTTGTCAATTCATGACATTAGTCAAGGCAAAGCTCCTTTTTGGTTTTATTTTATTTTCTTATTTGCCTCCTTCAACCCATGTTCTGCCTTTAATCTCCTTTCTCCTATTAGGCCCTTTGTAATATATGTGCTTTATGTCTTTTACATACTTGTCATACAAATATATGTATATGGCCTTGAGAAACATATATAGATCTTCCTTGACTTACAATGGGGTTATGTCCTGATAAACCCATCATGGGTTGGAAAGATCATAAGTCAAAAATGCACTTAATACACTTCATGTCTCAGACATCCTGAGTCTCAGACACCCTGAGGTCTTCCTTGTGGCTTGAATGTGCTCGGAACACTTACATTAGTGAACAGCAGGGGAACACCACCATCTACCATGAAGCTATTTTATAATAAAGTGTTGGATATCTCATGTAATCTATTGAATACTGTATGCACAGTTAAAAACAAAATGGCTGTATGGGTACAGAATGTAAGGGTACTGGTTGTTTACCTTTGTGACCCTGTAATTACTTGGGAGCTGTGGCTCCCTGCCTCTTGCCCAGTATAATTACAGAGGCTTGCACTGTATGTCACTAGTCTGGGGAAAGAACCAAATTCACAATTTGAGGTAATTTTCTAGTGAATACATATTGCTTTCACACCACTGTGAAGTAAAAAAATCATAAGTCAAACTTTCCTAAGTTGGAGATTGTGTGTACTACTGCTGTTTCTATGTGTCGTTTTCAGGTGAAAGGTCTTATGGAATAAGTCTCTTTCATGCTTGTCTGTTTAGCTCTATATAAATTTAAATCTTTGTGCTTGGCTTCTAGATAGTAGTCTATTATTAATGCATAACTTGGTGCTTTCCACAAAGAATTCTATTCTCTTACAATACTATTATTTATGAAGTTTCTGTTTGTTAATATAGAGGCTAATCTTTACTATTTATTATTTCTGCATCTATGGAGATAATTACTTCATTCTCTTCTATCATTAATGTGATTGTTTATATTGATAGTTTTTGCCATGTTCATTTATCCTTTTCTTCCTGGGAAAAATCCCTACTTGAAATTTAATATTATTTTTACCACAGTTTCAGTTTGAGTTAAATAAAATTTTATTTGGAAGTCTTATGTGGATTAACTGACCCAGAACTTAATCATCTTTCTCTCTTTTTCTCTATCTCTGTTAAAGAGGTTGCAACAACCTTTAAACACAAGGTACAATGTTCATGTAAGCACTTAACAAACTTTGAAGAAACCATCAGTCCTATTCCCTTTCTCCAAAAGTAACCTGTGTCAATTTGTGGAAGCCAGCACATAGGCCTTTATCTGTCATATATATGTGTGTGAAATTTTTTCACACAATTTTATTTACATAAATGTAAATGTGGCTTTTTACCTTGCACTTTGTGATGTTTGTGGATGTTTCCCTACATGACTACAACCTACATGTAGAGATCTACCTCATTATATCCTCATTTAAGCATTCTAACAGATATTCATTTGGTTGTCAATTTTTGGTTGTAACACACTTGAGTGCATTAAAAACTTTGTACATGTGTGTTGGTACATCCATAGGCTAAATCCCCAGAAGGGAAAATGCTGAACATGCTGAAAATTCTGATTGCAAAATGGCAAATATTATAAAAAGTGTAATTAATTCTCTTTGATATACACATATAAACTGTTTAAACATGAAAATGATTCCTCTTTTGCACTTTAGTAAACATGGATTTTAGTAATCACTGTTCAACTGCAAAAGTTTTCATAAACTGAAAAAGTTCAACTTCAACTGGAAAAGGTTTTCAAAAACCTTTCTTATAAATACATTAAGTAGAATTCATCTCACTAACAATGACAACAGATATTCAAAAAAAGCATCTGTGAAATACCTTTAGGATTAATGTATTTATTGACTTTTCAAACTAGAAGAGACTCACTCAACACTCCTCAATGTACCGCTGAGAAAACTGGGCCCAATTAAGTAAATAATTTGCTAAGTTAAGTTTGACCCCTTATTAGGAGAGTATTCAGTCTGAAACGAGTGTGCTTCAACTGTTTGCATAGCAAATTGAGAGTCACTCATATTTCCTAGGTAGCTATCGCCATTTAACTTTATTAACAAGGCAATTACAGTGCATGAACACTTTAAAATATATTTTTTAAAAGCCATAACGGGACGTTTATAGCTAGTTGTTTTCAATGGGTGGGACTCAGAATTGGTTTCCTTGAGACCCTGCATTCCGCTAATAACTACTAAGGTTTCTTAA